TCATGGTAAAGAAAGGTCATGTTCAGTTTTATGAACCAAGAAGGGCTTCATAGTCAAGTTAGGCATTTGAGCTGCACCTTAGGGATGGGTAGGAATGCAAAGGTCAGAGGTGGTATGAGGAAGCACCCGGCCCAGACAACGGCATATTTGGCTATGTGAAGGACAATGAGCAGCTAATGAAGGCCTGAACTTATAGGGTCAGCAGTGAAACAACAGAATGTCTGTTTACTGGCATTGCTATTCACAGAATTGCATAGCATGGTGTTCAGTTTCAGAAATTTTCAATTTGACATGACAGCTGATTATCCCCTTAGTCTGACCAGGTGGCAGATGAAATGTGGGACTGGTGTTTGGAAGCATGTTATGACTGGAGATGTTAAATTTAGAATGTAAATAAAATCGCATTTTATGAAAAGACACTTGAAAACTATTTGTGCATTGTTTGAACATGGACCTATGAAGGTCATAGACTCTATAATGTCACTGGTGCTCATCACGGAGCAAAGAGATTTGTGATATCAGTATGATTGGAGGTTGAAAATTAAACTGAAATGTCCATGTCCTTGATATGTTCAGTTCATTCAAATAACAAGTCTCAGCCCTCATGCTTTGATTTATGGCAAATCCATTCCTCAAGTTTTTGGAATACTAACATGTTTCATGAGTCCTTCCTAGCTCACTGCTTTGGTTCCACTTCTTACCTTTCATAATTGAATCTCTGGCTGCTGCTCTTTGCTTTCACCATGGGAACATGGATACAGGCTCCACAGAAAAGACTAGGTTGATAGCGTCAGGATAACATAAGGAAATTACCATGCAGAAAAGAAAAACCTAAAATTGATATTAGATATTATTGCTCTTAACACATTAGCCAAGCTCCCCTGTAAGGGGCGCCAGTGACTATCTCTTTCTTAGCTCTCCATCCTGATGCTGTGTTAAGGGGCCAGCTTACCTCATAATAACATATTTCCCCAACTGGAAGTCCAGACCTCTAGCTTTCACCCTAGCTTCAGAGAGGAAAGCAGGCTTTTCTCTTTCTCAATTTAAAGCTGGCTTCCTTTCCTGACCCAGGATTACTGACAGAAAGAACATTGTTAGTTTGACTATAGGAATCATTTCACTATGTATATGTATAGCAAAACATCATGTTGTACAATTAACATTCAGAAATGAATGGCATTTTTATACACCAATAATGAACTCTCAGAAAGAGAAACTAAAAAAAAACAACAACAAGCATTTATCACTGCAATGGAAGAATTAACCATGTTCATTAATATGGAAGAATTAACATCATTAAAATGTCCATACTACCCAAAGCAATCTATAGATTCAATGCAATCCCCATTAAAATACCAATGGTATATTTCACAGATCTAGAACAAATAGTCCAAAAATTTATATGGAACCAAAAAAGATCCTGAATAGCCTCAGAAGTCTTGAGAGACAAGAACAAACTTAAACGGATATCAAACTATGCTATAAAGCCATTATAACTAAAACAGCCTGGTACTAGCACAAGAATAGGCATATATATAAATGCAACAGAACAGAGAGCCCAGAAATCAACCCACGCCATTATGGTCAATTGATATTTGACAAAGGAAGCAAGAGCATACAATGGAATAAAGACAGTCTCTTCAATAAATGGTGTTAGGAAATTTGGACAAGTACATGCAAAAAAAAAAAAAAAAAAGAAAAGACAGAAAAGAAGCTAGACCACCAACTTCTACCATACACAAGAATAAATTCAAAATGGATAAAAGACTTAAATGAAAGTTGTGAAATCATAAAAATCTTAGAAGAAAACATAGTCAGTAAAATCTCAGACATCTCACATAGCAGTATTTTCACTGACATATCGTCTAGGTCAAGGGAAACAAACAAACAAAAAGTAAACAAATGGGACTATATCAAACTAAAAAACTTCTGTACAGAAAAATAAACCATCAACAAAATGAAAAGAGAACCTATTATATGGGAGAATATATTTGCCAATGATACATCTGATAAGGGGTTAATTTCCAAAATATATAAAGAATTTATACAACTAAACACCAGGAAGACAAGCAATCCAATTTAAAAATGGGCAAAGGACCTGAATAGACACTTCTCCAAAGAGGACATACAGATGGGTAATAGACATATGAAAAAAATGTTCAGTGTCACTAATCATCAGAGAGATGCAAATTAAAACTATAATGAGTTATCACCTCATCCCTGCCAGAATGGCTAATATCAATTAATCAACAAACAAAAAGTGCTGGATGTGGAGAAAAGGGAACACTAGTACACTGTTGGTGGGAATGCAGACTGGTGCAGCCACTATGGAAAACAGTATGGAGTTTCTTCAAAAAATTAAAAATGGAACTGCCATTTGACCCAGTGATCCCACTTCTGGGAATATATCCTATGAATCCTGAAACACCAATAAGAAAGAATACATGTACCCCTGTTCATAGCAGCATTATGTATAGTAGCCAAGTGCCCATCAGTAGATGAGCGGATAAAAAAAGGCAGTGGTACATTCATACAATGGAATACTGTGCACCTGTAAAAACGAAGGAAGTTTTACCCTTTGAGACAGCATGGATAGACCTGGAGAGTATTATGCTAAGTGACATAAGCCAGTCAGAAAAAGACAAGTATCACATGATCTCACTTATATGTAGAATCTAATGAACAAAATAAACTGATGAACAGAGGCATGGATGCATGGAAAAGACTGACAGATCTCAGATGGGAGAGGGGTAAGGGGTATGGGAAGAGATTAATCAAAGAACACATATGCATATATGCATAGCCCATATCTATATGGGTATAGATAATGTAGTAGAAGCCTGGGGTGGGGTAGGGGCTAGGTGGAAGGGGGCAAAGAGGGGTGATGGATTGGGGACAGCTGTAATACTGTCAACAAGAGAAAAACACACACACAAAAGAACCATCATGTTGTACATCTTAAATCTATACAATTTTTACTTTTAAAAAACTCAGTTTCTTCAGGGGGAATTCTTACCTTCATCCACAGAATGGATTGGGTCAAAACAGTAGTCAAAAGTACATTTAAGGAAATCTGGGCCCAGTCAGTGTGGCTCAGTGATTGAGCTTTGACCCAGGAACCAAGAGGTCGCTGGTTCAATTCTGGGTCAGGGCACATGCCTGGGTTTGATCCCCAGTAGAGGTCGTGCAGGAGGCAGATCAATGATGCTCCTCTCTCATCGATGTTTCTATCTCTCTATTCTTCTCCCTTCCTCTCTCTCTCTAAAATAAATAAATAAATAAATAAATAAATAAATAAATAAATAAATAAAAACATGTTAAAAAAAGAAAGATGTCTGGGGCCTTCAGGGTTTGGGAATATGACATGCAGATGGTGCAGAAGATGGGTGATAGGGTGGGGGCACACAGTGCAGGGCCAAGCCCAGTTCTATGCGTCTTTACAACTTTTCCTCCAGTGTGGTGGCTTGGTTTCTCAAGATCTATGCATAAGTACGTGGACCAAAACCCTACATCCCTCAAGAAACACAAAATGTATTTTTCAGAAAGGGTATATTCTAAATCCGTATTTAGGAAAATTGTTATTCTTAATGCAAAGGAAACACTCCTGCTAGACAATTACCCAATTTATATGACTGAATAGAAACATATAACATCTCATTAATGTAAGCTTACTTTTTGTTGGGCACCTACTGTAAGCGAGGGCCTTTTATATCTCCCTTTTGCAAAGAAAGGAACTGAGGGTCACATTGCTAATAAATGGCAAAGCAGGATTCACAATCAGGCCCACCTAACCAGTCAGTGTACTTAAACACTAAATAAGATTTCATGTACTAGGTAAAAACAACTTCATTGAAACAAGTGGTGAACTCACTATTTTCTACAAAGAAATTTATGTGAGAACACTTATGAGAATTTTTCATAAAATGGCATCATTGTCATCATCTGTACATGAATCTTTTTGAAATAAACACGTTTACTCATTAATTCAACAATGTTTCCTGTGTACCACAATCCAGGCATTATAGGTATTACAGAAGATGCAAATATGACTTCCTATAGGAATTTATAATCTATCCAAAGACAGGAAATAAAAGACAAACAGAATTTGATGAATACCATAGGAAAGGTGAAAAAAGTGTTAGGGATTTTAAAAGTGGGAGAGATTATAAGTGCTGTGGGCAGTGGAGAGCATTACTGCAAACAATAGCAACTCTAAGAGAAATACAAATATAAAATTAATATAAAATAAACAAAAATAGACATCTAATTAAGAATGTTAAGACCAAATAAGGGATTATTGTCAACATATTGGGACTCCTCCAGCTGACACCTTCCCTACCTTAAAATTATTAATAAATTAGTTCCCATGGATTTAGATCCACTGCTGTAATCATGGCTACAAACTGCTGTGTTTACAGGCAGATGTGCAGGTCATACTCAAAATAACGTCCCCTCTGAACGGATGGGAAGCATTTGGAGGGTCATCTGTCACATGAGTAACACTAGTTAGGATTAGCGTGGACACTGGTCAGTGGTTCACTTTTACTGATGTTTGTAATGTGTATCAGTATGTTGATATCATTCTGCAGCCCTTATTAGACAGTGAACGACAAGAATACATCAAGTGATAGTCCCTGAGCTATTCACAAATATACTGCCTTTTTTTTAAAAAAAAAAAACAATGCTAATGCCCTTTGAAATCTGGAGTTTGGAAGTGGCACAAAATGTTATTTTAATACAAACTAGCTTCCACCACACGTGACTTTCTTTGGTTAAGTTTAGGATTCGAAACAGACACTAACAATATCGCTATAAGATTTTTTTTCCCCCTCAAGTGATTGAAACTTATTTCACCTTGGACTACTAATCCCATCATGCAACGCTCCGCATATCCCCACGGTATGGGGTGGAGTCGTAGGAGAGGTGGCAACAGCAGCGGCCCGTGCATTCTGGGCTTTGTAGTCTCTAGGGCTCTGGCCGCCGTCGGGACGTCCACGTGGTGCGTTTGGCTGCAGCTGTGGTCAGTAGCTACCTTGTTCCCTGCACTTGGTCCCCGGTGCCCGCTCGGGCGGGGGCAGACCGCCGCGGCGGAGCGGGATGGAGGGAGGGTCGGAGGGAGCCCGAGCCTTCGCGACGTTTTTGCGACAGCCGCGGCCGTGTTCCGAGAGTCCCCTCCCTCCTCCTCTCTCTGAGGAGGCACCGGCTGTTGTGCGGAGCTGCCTTTCTGTTGGAGTGTATGGGAGAGTGAGTGAATGAGTGAGTGCGAGCGTGCGTGTGGGAGCGGGTGAGGCGTGAGTGCGCGTTTGGGAGAAGGAGGACCCGCAGTGGCCGCTCGGCCGCTCCCCGCAGCGGGAGCAGTACGCGCGGCCGGGGAGAGCCGGGGCACCGGCGCCGGGAGCCAGCGGGGACAAGGGCGAGAAACCCTCTCCCCACCCCCAGCCCTCTCCCTCCGCTCGCTCTCCTTCGTCCGGGGGAGCCTCCCGGTCCCACCCCACCCCCTGCCGGCCACTGTCCCGCCGCCCCCCTGGATGTCCCCAGCGCCCTCGCGGGGCCTCCTCCAGCTCTTGCCGCATCAGTCGGGCCGGTGCTGCGGCCGCCGGGTGTAGAGCGGGAGGGTTCCCGGGGGCTGCGGCTGCCGGTGCTTCCCCGGTCTCCGCCCGTGTCCCCCGGTCCCCGGCCCCAGCTCCCCGGCCTCGGAGGCTGTGACAATGGACTATGACTTTAAAGTGAAGCTGAGCAGCGAGCGGGAGCGGGTCGAGGACCTGTTTGAATACGAGGGCTGCAAAGTTGGCCGAGGCACTTACGGTCACGTCTACAAAGCCAAGAGGAAGGATGGGTGAGTGTGCGGTGCGGTGCGGTGCGGTGTCCGCGCTGGGCGGCGCTCCCGCGGGCCCGGGCAGGTAGCCGCGAGGGGGAGTGGGGCGCTGGGGCGCCGGTCCCCCGCTTCCTCGGCGCCCGCGTCTGCCCTGCCAGCCAGGTTTGGGCAGGAAGTGGTACCAGGGATCCAAACCCACACCGAATCCTGAGTGCTGCCGCCTGTGTTCTACTTTGGTGGCCCATGGGGAAAAGGAGCCTCTGTGCCTTGGGCTGTGTACTTTTCAAGGGTTTCGGTGCTAGATTTTAAAAAAGAAATTCGTTATGAAATGTCAGCTTAAATCATTTTTGGGGGGTGGGGTGGGGGTGTCGATTTATTACGGTAAACTTCTGGGGATTTCCTCACCTGCTTCTGGAGTGACATCCACTGGAAGGGAAGCTGTGATCCTTTCCTCTACCAGTTTGTGACTGATTGATTGTCAGATTTGGATTTTATTTTGGGGAAAGAGAGCAGCAGGTCCATCCAGTCTGAAGAGTTCCTGGTAGTAATCATCGGAGACAGAAATGTAGCAGTTGCGGCGTAGATACCATTAGTGTGAGTTTGACATAGAACAATGGGGGTTTGGTGCAGGGTGGGTGGTGGGGGAAAAGGCAGGCACAAACAGGGGTTATCTTCTTCGTCTGGCTCCCCCCAAATTTAGCAGCTGGCAATGAACTTTAAATCGCCGCTTTGCTTTAAATATTCTTCCCTATTAATAACTTAATTAAGTCTATGACTGGTATTGCTCCCCGTTTAGTTTCTTAAACAGGCAAGTGAAGTGTTCGTTTTTCCTTTGTCAGTAGATGAATGTCTTGTAATATTGACAAAAGAGAAGGCAATTCTTAGTTGAGGAGAAAATGTGTTTAATGCCTTGTCTTCCTCCTGTAAAAACGGATGTTGTCTCTGTTGCCTTTAATATTATAGACAATTGCTGGAAAGATAATGTCAAAGCTTATTATATAATCTTTAGATTTTATTATAAACAAAGTAGCTTTACTTGACCATCTCTGTTAGTTTGCTTAGCTGCTGTTTAACAATGAAAATAATTGCTTTTTTTCCCAACTTAGGTAAGGGGGGTATGTTTAGAACTATGTAAGTACTAAAAAATGAAACATTTCATAAAGCTGAAGTAAGTTACCTAGGGGGTGTGGAAGGGAAGCCATATTTATAACTACTTTAGTATTCTGGATATTGGAAAAGGAAGTGTATATTTATTCAACATTTTTTTCTTAGATTTATTGATATATATTTCTAAAAAACTTAAAATGTATTCTAAGAGTCATAGAGTAACTCTAATTTTGGATGTGCATTTCAGTGTTTATATGCAACAGTAATGCAGTGCAAAAGATAGGAATTTGAAAACTTGAGGCTCTGGGTACTGTATGTATTGAAAAGTACTTTTTAGCAAAATGAGTAGTCTGGTGACATTTGAGAAATCAGTGTCTGGAGAGAATGTTGACTGTTTAATTATATTTCTTGTTGAAGTATTACTTTGTAATAACACATATATTTAAAAAATGATCCTTGTTAACTTCCCATACACTATTTTTCAAAAACCTTAAACCATCTTGCCATCCCCAATATAATAATTTTTTTTAGTATATTCATAAAAACCCTAATCCCATGAGATTGAACACTGTTGTACATTTGACCAGTCTGTCATTTGTTTTATAAAATTATGGTGACTTTAAATTATTTTTAACCTCTCTGAGAGAAGCCAGTTCTGTTTTTATAAATTACCGATTTAAGCTAATAAAATCTGCAAATTTAATTAACTTTGCTTTTATGTGTTATTTAAAAACTATAATATCATATATTATCAAAAGGTACTCTAAACCACATTTTATATCTTATGGTCAGGTTTTAATTTAGGCTGAAAATAATTTTAGAAGTATTGTACAATTTAAAAATAGCTGAATGTATTGTATATGAACATTTCTTAGTAATTTGTGATAGTTGAATTTTGCATTTTGGGAAAAGATAACTTTTTTATTTGTAATTCTTTGGGGTTGTTTTCCAGCAACCTTTAATGATTTTGTTTATAGGATGAACTTTTAAAAAAATGGATCAAATGTCAAAGAGTTTTAAAATTACTTAAAGCAGTGTTTGTTTTCTAGAGGGAATACTTTTTGGTTTAGCTTCTTTTTTTATAACCTAAATGGTAAAATACTGCATTGTATTTATGAGGTTCTTTTGATCTTATGTCAGTGAAATGTAATTTAAGTCCTGGTAAAATAAAATTTGTAGTTTGTAGTTAAACCTTTTATAGAAAGTTGATGATCAAATAACTTTTCTAGTGTTGATTTGCATTCAAATTAAATTATATATTCTGTAACTGAAATTTCAGAGTATTCTCAGGACCCAGACAGTAGCATCTTCAAAAAGAGTCTTGAGATTTAAAATAAAATGAAATGTTTTGTTTATATAAATTTGGCTATTGAAATGAATGTATTTAAATTTTGTATCCTTTCAGTTCTCTAGAGAGCATCATAGAACATGAATTATTAGAAAAAAATTAGGAACTACACAGCTTGAAAGGTCATTTCTTTGAGTTAAAGAATTAGTAATACTATACTGCTAGTATACTGCACTTAGATAAACTCAGCATTTTAGGAATGTGGTGCAGAGAGAAATACTTTATTTGAAGCATGATTACGTAAATACATGGAAAAAGGAGTTTTTATAATTGTGTTGATTTCAAATTCTAATAGAGTTAAAAAATAAGTGCACAATAAATCTTGGAAATAATTTGCTCTTACTATTATTATAAATGAGATAGTGTCCTTTGTGTCTGAACACCAAAAGGGTACTTTAGTGAGAAGCAGGGGGATTAATTTTCTGAGTCAATTTTACTTTTTCTTTGCAGAATTTAGGCAATTAAACTTATTTTGTTCCAAAGAATGGAAAACTGTGAGAAGGCAAAAAAATTTGTGTTTTTAAATTCTGAACTCTGGACATTTTTAGAATTTAAAAGTCAATTTGGAATAAGAGTTTGATTTCCAAAAAAGAAAAGCAAAAGGAGCTTTCTTCTTCTTCGTTTTTTAATCCTCACCCAAGGATATGTTTGTTGGTTTTGAGAGCCAGAGAAAGGGAGAGAAACAGAGAAACATGGATGTGAGAGGGTAACATCAATGGTTGCCTCCTGTATGCACCGCAACCAGAATTCAAACCCGAAACGTGGGTATGTGCTATGACCAGGAATTGAACCCACACCTTTTTGGTGTACAGAGAATGCTCCAATCAACTGAGCCATCTGGCTGAGGCAAAAGGAGTTTTCTTTTTAAAAAAATATATTTTTATTGAATTCAGAGAGGAAGGGAGAGAGAATCACTGCTTGGCTGCCTCCTGCATGCCCCACATTGGGGATTGAGCCTGCAACCTGGGCATGTGACCTGACCGGGAATTGAACCATGACCTCCTGGTTCATAGATATATTGAAGGTCAACCACTGAGCCATGCCGGCCGGGCCAAAAGGAGTTTTCTTGAGTAGGATTCTTAGACTTCTTTAACCTACGTTCTAAAGAACAGATAATATATAATTGGGTGCATATGTGTGTATATGGGTGTTTATGTTAAACATATAGAAAACTTTTATAGAAAACCAAGAGATTAGTAGGCAATGAAAATGACAATAATAGCTAAGTTATTGTGTAAGTACCAGGTCCTGTGCAGAGTCCTTTAAGGTCATCCTCTATTTAATCTTCACAAGTACCATATTAAGTCAGTTTTGTTTTTCTCTAACAGTTTTGCAGGTGAGGAAACTGAGGCTTAGGAAAGTTAAGCCAGTTTGTCCAAGGTTACATGACTACTTAAGTTTCAGAGCTAGAATTAGAGGATTACAAGCAGCTCTTTTATTGTATAGCCCATGCTCTTAACCATTATGCTTCATATAATTGATATATTAAAATAAATATAAACATAGACATCAAGATTTGGTTTTTAGTGGGTCATTCTGAAAATATAAATGCTTTATCCCAGGACTAATCTTTTCAGTTAACTGGTGTACTTGTTTTAGTACATTTCTGAAGAGGCTGTTTGTTTTTAAAGTATGTATGTAGATATATGTGTGTGCATCATAGCACACACGTATATGTGTGTGTCTACCAGACCCTTATAAAGCATGTTAAGATATGAAAGTTCTTCATCTAGTAAAAAGAACTCAAAAT